GAACTGCTGAACTTATACAAATGAGGGTTTGCCATAATCTCCATACACTCCAGGTGGAGTTGGATGGAGGTTGCAGTTTATCACCTGCCGAAGAGAAAAGCTGTTGACTCATGAACGTATTCTACTCGGCTTTCATAATACGGCTAAACTCATGATTACACAAATGTATGATGAATAACAGTCATCCCCAAAATTTATGTTTGACGAGTAACTCGACTAGTTTCAAGTCATACCAGAGGCTCATATTCATGTTATGACAGTTACGTGGATAAGCTGAAAACATAATAATTAATTTAGTATGTCTCACGAAGTTATAATATAACAAAAATCTGTGTTCTTTGACTGACCTAGGTCATTATATGGCGAGTGGCAGTTTCTGTTTCTCTATAAACAGAATATGAAACAAACTCACCGACTATTGTTTCGTTGCAAACCCGAGATGGAGAGTTCTTCATCTGCGCAGGTTTTCACTTCCAATTACGATTCACAAACCAGATCAAAGCGTAATAATTATATTTCATTTTAAAGCTACGCGATTGAAGTTTTATTATTTTTTGGCGTGGACTGAACAAAGATAGACATGGACACCTGAAAAATATAGGCTATGGACACCTACTGAAATTTTTCTTTACAATACGTTTGTTTTGTTTCGCCTGTTTGCCATTATTTACGTTTTCAAAAGTACTTATAATTAGGTATATAATAGTACTTATAATATGCAGTCGTTAATTTATTTTCAGTTTAGAGTATTTTAAAACATAACATTATAGGACTTCAAATCGAAAACTCAACAAAATTAGTCGACAGAAGTATCTTTAACAATATTGTAGAGGCGCGCAATATTGTATGCATATTAAACTTATTAGCTACATAATTTAAAAGCATCATAACACCACGACGTTTTTATTCCCAAAGGGTAGGGCACTTAATGCCACTGTACAATGTACCACCCACTTTTCCCATTCACATTCCCATGTTACAGGGGGCGAGCCTATTATTCCCATAGACCTATTACCACAATTCCAGGCTCCGTGCTACTACTGAGTTTTTTTAAAAACCCCAATAATATTTTGCCCAACCCGGGAATCGAACCCGAGATTTCTTGCCCGTCCACTTGCGACTACTCGGCCAACGAGGCAGTCAATTTTAAGACCGTTACAAAATTAAATATAGGCTACCCATGCACCAAAGTGTAGCTTTTTTCGAACCTTGGTTACGTTAGTGCCTACAAAATTATGGATAAACTTATAAATATCTATTTTTAGGCCTAAACCCACCTCAAAGTAAGGGCTCAAAGCTTTGAGTACACTTACCTGCCTTTTCCTTTCCACAACAGTTGGTACCAACAAAACAAATTAACGTCCATAAAATTCTTAACAATATCAAACAAGGCTAAGCCTGACAGATTGGTCCGGTATCTTTATTTATCACAGCAACCTTCCTTACAGAATTCTAATGTTCTGTTAAAATTGGCCCGAAGTTTGTACACATTGGCAATAGCATGAAATCCATTGCTGCTCTTATTTGTATTACGATTGAGTATTTCGGAGCTCACGGAGTAATGGACACGTTGCATATTCCAATCTGCAGCTATAGGTACGTACATAGGGTTGGCAAATTTACATTTCTATGAAGATTGACGCTGTCGGTGTTAATATTCATGGAAAATGTTTTTTATTCGATACAGCTCGAGGCTTCCGGTAACGGGTAAATAATTTGTTTTGCATACTGTTGCAGGTTGCCAGTTTTAACAAGACTATAGACTACACATGGAGTATTTTCTCTCATAGTTAGCAGTTGTAATATTAGGTACGTAATGTACCTACCGTTATACAATCTCACACTCTTTTCATAGTACATTTTGTTCTGGCATTTTTGTAATGGAACTTTTAATTAAATGCCTTCGATCAAAAATAACAACATGCAGACTATCACCAATTTCAAAGTCTTGTCCTGAAGTTTTCACTTTTCATTCTTATCAAATTAACATAACATAGGTATATAGTGCCTCATGTATTTCCCTACATAAAGTCATATTAGTTTCTCGAACAACCCATGCATTTGTTCCGGAAGCCGGATGTTTGTATTTCGGTAAACCTACAGTTCTACGCGTGATGTTATTGATTGGTGGAATTGGGTCACAATTTTATGCCCTGGTGGGTTCTCACTACAAAGAGAGGTAGTGGAATTGGCACTCCAGGGACTAAAAGCTAAAAATACCTAGCTACTTACCTACCTACATAAGTCAGTATCATTTGGCGGGAAGAGGTGGAAAATAAAGGATCGTTAGTTTTGCTTCCTGTTACGCAGAAAATACAGTCAGAGAACCACGTGGGTACTTGTAGTCCATCTTCTAAGAACTAAGTTACTACCGTTGTGGTCTGTAATTCACTTGTGATGCTTCTGGACTTGCAGGCACTACCTGGTGAACTAATGTATCAGCGTAGACCACGATCACCATTTACCATTAGACAACGATCCGTCAGGTTTAAAGAAGTTAGAAAAAACTTCTAGACTTTAAAATAATTAATGCAGTAAGATTAGGTTTTTTGTTTTCCGAATTCATGAGCCTATAATATTGTCAGGCAGTTTTAGGACGTTCAGTCGAAAACTCAACAAAAGTCCACAAATCGCTTTAATAATATCATAAGTGTGTTCTACGTATATTAAACTTATTAGCTACACTTTTAAAAGCATCGCATGCAGGTATTATATCTATAGGTATGGCGACTCGAAATTGAGTTTTCCAAGTTCCCAACCTATGTGCCTACTTGATACTTGAAGTGATTTAATTTTACGCACGTGTTACATCCAAGGCCAAGACTATTTGTGAACTCTCCCAGTATATCCAAGACTTCATTAAACCAGTAATTTACATTACGTAGGTAATTAGACACTGAAATTAACCTGTGTGACTTAGGTACATTTAGCCGCAACCTTTTAACTTGTAATTGTACACACAGCTTTATTGTCACGTTATATTTCATCTTTTCTAATAGTCTAGTCTAGGTAGGGTTTTAAAAGTGTAAAAAATTACTTGATTTATGAGACATTCTCCTACTAACCAAGTCTAGATTTTGTAAAAAAATGTGCAGTGTGGGAAAAATATTGTTCTGATATAAATCGATTAAATCATTAATTTATTAACATTTAATTCACCAGACATTCTATTATATTTTCAGGACGATCCGTTAATTTATTACACCGCCATCTACTTTTTATATTATATACTAAGACGGTGACAGCTAAACGCTGAAGTTGGCGCATTAGTAATGTAACGTTGATATCATAGATGGCGTTATTTTATATTATCAAATCAGATCTTTTAGTAAATTAAAAAAATAATTAATTCCACCGCTAATGTATATAGGGAAGCATTAACGTAATCAACTATATTAATATTACCAAATAAAAATATACTACAGTCAGGATCTTTATTAAAAAATACTATACCCCCCTTCTTGAGTGGAGTTTATATGTATATAGCCTACTGTTATTTTTAACCTTTTGACCGCCAATGTCACATATACGTGACAAGCGAAAACTGTCCCTGGACGTCAACGACACAAATACATGACAGAAAAAGCGGAACCAGAAACACGAATTATTGGAATCCCTATTGTTGATACAATAGGGATTCCAATAATTCCTATTTCTTTCGTAGAAATTTGCGTGGAATTTGTGGCTTGGTGTCGAAGGCAGGTTCATGTGTTTTTGCTCTGGCGTTCAAAAGGTTAAAAGATGTAGTTTTGTTTTCGACAACCATGAGAACGAAGTCGCGGGCACAGCTAGTATAAAATATTGATGTACACAAAGCACCGCTAATTAGTTCGTAACGCTCACATCGACACTACTGTCATTTACACAATGTACATGTGTGGGTAATTTCATATTACTGTGTATAAAAATATTCGTCCACCACGTTCACATTGGTATTTTCATTCTTGTGTCGGTATACGTATTTTTATAATTTAATGCATGGGTAAGGTTAAAACTATTTACAATCATTGATATGACCCGACATTTTCACTGTAATAATCGTAGTGCTCGTGGTCGATTGGTTAATGAGTACGCTTTTATCGTCTTTCAAGGATCAATGATGATGTGGGTTCTATTCCAGCTAAAAGTTTTTTTTTATTTTACCTTGTTGTTTTTCTTATTTATTTTTTTTTTGTTTTTTGTCATATAATATAAATATCAGGCTATAAAAGAAGCAAATCAGTCGGTAAATAAAACAATACTATTTTTTATTAAAATTAATTTATTAATTATACAAATATGTGGTTTTATATTCAATATTTATATCTAATAATTAATTATATACCACATGTTAACTTTAAAGTTCTTCCAATCATTCTAAATTATTCTAAATAATAAATAACTAGAACTAAAATATAAATAAAGGATATTATAGGTATAAATAAATCTAAAGTATTTACTATTAAAATTAACATAAGATTTAGAAAAATAGGATAGGAAAAAAAGAAAAGATTTAATTGTTTCTAATTTCACATTTCAAATATTTGATTAATTAATACTAAAACAACATGTGAATGCTGGAATCGATCCGGTGGCACTTTACTTGACCACTGGAGGCGATAACCATTGCGCCAAGCGCGCCGTAGATGAGAACATCGAAATATTGTATATCATTCAGTAACATAAAAATACAATGAGAATGCACTATATTTATATAAGTATTGTATTGCTCGATCGTTCATTATTTTTGATTTCGATTTATTCAAAGTTTGTTATGAGTATTTTTATCTTTACCCTCGTTTTTATTTAAACTTATTTACTAAAATATTACGTATACCGACACAAAAATGATATGTAATACCAAGATGTGTGTGATAGAACGAATGTTTCTATACATATCTATTAATATGAAATTACCCACACATGTTCACTGTGTAAATGATAGTAATGTCGATGTGTAGCGCCTCGAACTAATTAGCGGTGCTTTGTGTACTTACATTGAAGTAATATTGAAATTCATATTTCATAACCAAAGATTTAATTTATTCTATGACTATAACGTAACAAACTTGATTTCAATTTACAGTATTTTACAACTTACACAGTAGAACTTAGGGTACAAATTAACAATGGTACTTGTGTACACAATCATGCTCTTGTCTTGAATTCAGCATTTTTATTGAATGGAAATGTTTGCTTGTACCTCGCTACTCCCAAACAGATGAATGCTGAAATTAGAATGAATTAGATAATTAATATTTGAATGCCAAGGATTTGTAAACCACAAAATAAGAACATAAATAGTTTTATATTCCACAAAATGTAGAAGTAGTTTTACGGTTGTTAATTCAATGAATTAAGGTAATAATGATAATTGAATTCAATTAAATCAGGTCACTGACCTGTGATTATTTATTAGTATAAGTTTAGAATCATCGTATGTACTTTTAAAACATGCTAGAAATAATTTATTGCATGTTATTAAAAAATGTACAAGATGATTCTGAAAATTATGGTCCAGAATTACAACTTCAACAACTTTAATTACGTTATATGACTGCCTGTCATATAACGTAATTATATTAAGTTATAACTTACCAAAAGATAACACAGATAGACCATATTTTCCAGGTAATGTTTTATGTTTGCAGGCACTGTTAGCCAGGTAACCTCCTATCCCAACCAAACCGACACCCCCTACGATTCTGCACGACAGACAGTCGCGGGGTGGAGTATTCTCTTTCGTTGCCATTTTAAACAATAAATTACATGCACTTTAATAGTTAAATTAGAAATTATCGCACAAATTGTGTAATATTTATATTTTTTTTTGATTTGACAGTTTGACAATTACACTAAACTTTTGACAGACAACCAAATGACAGTGACAATGACAAGACAAATAAATCAGCGTTTCTTTTTACGCAGTAGTCGATGAGTTCAAAGCAGTGCTTAATATTTTATGTAGAAATAAAACTCATTAAAAAACTTTTAATAAAGAGAAGTGAGGACAGTACGGTTAGCGTCGCGACTGAGGGGTTGGTTTTTGGGAACGTGTCGTGGGTTCGATTCCTGCACAGAACAATTCTTTGTGTGATCAAAATTGTTGTTTGGGATTTGTTTGTGATGATTGTGTAGGTGCGTAATATTATTATGTTTGTAAACGCATTCACTTATTGACATCATAGATCATGTCCATAATTTCATTTAATTCTTCGAAGTTTATGAACACTGTATTTTACGTTCCGTGGGAAACACAATCGAATTACAATATTTTCGATCAAAAAATGCTGTCTCAATTTTTACATAAAACTTCCGACAATATCTTGCAATATCTGTTTCACACACGTGTAAATACATATAAGGACCATAACTACACTACACGTACATAACATAATGGCTTTTGTTCGAATGACAACGAAATATCTCGGTAGTCTTGGAGACAAGTGGGTCAAGGGGTAGACAAGACAATGAGTTGACGTTTGCTCTCCATCCACTTGATATCTTTTATACAGTATAGATAGATAGCTACTGCTTTTAATATGCAGTCTTTGATCGAGATTGGGCAGTGTGGTGACGGTACTTAAACAATTTTGTCACCACCCACACGAATGCAGCACTTCGCTTCAAGCTTCCTTGTGCGTACTAAGAAAGGAGTGCAATTCATTGCCAGACTTTGTATTTCCTGAGGGTTATACCTGGGTACCTTCAAGGCGCGAGTGAATAGGTTGCTTATGGGACCACGTGCTCCATTGCAGACCGCATTATCGTTTTTCGGGTTTCATTTTCCGGTTAGGCAAAATATTATCTACCCTTGAGCCTTGAGTAAGCGTGGTAATTAATGCTCAAACCTTCTCGGTGTGAAAAAAGGCATTTGTCCAGCAGGGAGCATTTAGGGCTCGTGCACAAAACTGCTATGCGACGTCGCATCGCAAAAATGTGCAAGCCTCATTGCAACACAAGAACTTGCGAATTGTTTCTCATCGCGTATCTGAATCTTATGTTCCCAAAATCTTCTTTGTGTCTTTTTCCTTGTTCTGAAGGTCGTCGAAGGAATGGTCAGGGAGACGCCTTGTCGCACGAAATTGTATTCGCATCGCAGTTTTGTGTACCAGCCCTAATAGGCTGTTAATGTGACGTGGAGTACTTAACTTCATGGTAGCCTTAATTTCAATGCATGTAGTGACTCATACCTAATCAACAATAACCAGGTAATTGGTTTGATGATTCGTTGAACTAATTGACCGACATTGGGAATTACCGTGTAAAGTGTTTCCGACAAGTACTGATGTTACTAACCGAGTCTGTGCCGTTCCCGCTCTTCCTCTTCCTTTACGATAATGGGGATGATGACAGGGTATAAAAATTAAAAATATAATTAGTCCATAAGTTAGGTAATTAAAAAATATTAGACACGTATTTTTTTCTTTTGTCGTATAATAAAACAATAATTAGATAAAACGAATCAAAGTTTAGGAGTGGGGGCTAAAACGTCATTTCTTAGTATAAAATGTACTGAGAAGTGACGTCACGCGACATTTCAAATCAATATATCGTCGAAAGTATTCGTTTCTGTAAGAAAATAAAAAATACGTGTCTAATGATTTAAAATAATCTACCAGACGGACATAAAAATAAAAATTAGTCGTCTACCCTATTATGATCAAAGTATTCGCGTGGTTTAGAGACAAGACTTGCAACATTTATGACCTGACTTGGCTTGCAATTCCCTAAGCGACATCGAAAAATCTACCCCTGATTATCTGTCGCGGAGAACCTAACGGATAACCGGGGCTCCGGCTCGACGTGCAGGAGAAGGAACGGGGTGGTTTTTAGTCAGTAAGAGTCTGACACTCCCTCCCGCCTCACCCAGGCGGGAGCAGTCATTCGATGATTTTCCCCTCTTAAAAAAAACCCCTGATTATCTCGTGGCCGTAAATTCGTATCATCATCTATTGATGATGATAGCCTGTTTCCTATAAGTAGCTATAAGCCTCTTCCCCCACGGAGAAGGTTTGAGCATTAATCACTACGCTTGCTGAATGCGGGTTGGGAATTTCAAACTTATAATTAGAAATTATAAGCCCTGGTTTCCTCACGATGATTTCCTTCACCTTTTGTCAGTGTAGTTAGTTTATTATATTAGTCTAAATAATTATATAACTCGAAAATAGTCATATCAGTACTTGTTGTTGGTAGGTTTCGAACCCATGTCTCTTTTAAAGGACCCGGTGCCTCCATTCAAGTGTTGAGGGTGGCCACCGGGGTGGTTTTAGTAAGGTAAAAATCCCACACTCTCTAGTCTTTTATCCCCAAAAAGGCTAGGCGCCTCTTGAAGAATTCCCCCCGTCATCAAAAAAAAAAAAAACAAAAAAAGGGTTTCGAACCCATGCATGCCACCATGACTTTTGTTTACTGACTAAGAAGTGATGGAATTCTAGGGGTATAGACTTACCTACTGGGTTTTTCGAAAAAATCTTAGTAGGTACTTACACGTCTAATAACACGGAGTTAAGAATGGCAATGACTTGTGAAAACTATCTCTGTCTGTTCGAGAATTTATAAGGCGTGACATGGGCAATAGGAAACCCGAGGAAAAAAAAAACTTTATAACTGCTTGCTTGCTTCGCCTACACATATAAAACGAATTACAAATTTAAAGATACTTTCCTAGTACGTACCTAGTAATTTCTAGGAAATGTACAACAAATAATATAATTATTATGTCCATATAAGTATCTATTGCGTACCTATGTACGCTATACAAAACCACGTAACCACCGGCCTATCAATTACAAATACAAGGTAAACCAAACGGCGTCGACTCCAACTCTCCAAGTCGTATAATTTCCCTTATTTCCGCAGTGAAAGGCATTTTGCTGGTGTTACGTGTGTCACAGATCACAGACCTTACCTTAAATATCCACAATAATTGTTCACTTTTAAGTAAATATCTTACAGTACATGAATGCAGTCACATTTGCCCCCACTCAGTCAACGAGGCAGTTGTTTGCCGAGTGGTCCCGTGGCCCGACTGCCGGGCAAGGGGTCTCGGGTTATCGAAACCGACCCGACCCAGGACGACCCAGCAATCGTCCTGGGTCGGGCAAACCATTACTGGGTTTAAAAAAAATTCTCAGTGGTAGAACGGGGTCTGGAATCATGTCCAGAATATAACAATAGGCTCACCCCCTATTCATGGGACTTAATACATAAAATTGTGGAAATTTGGTGTTCATGATACAGTGGCATTAAGTGCCGTAATGTGTACCGCTGCCTACCCCTTCGCGGATGAAAGGCGTGATGTACATAAATGTAAAGTTCACAATCATGATCAGATGGAAGACCAGAAAATAGCCTTTTTTTAAGAGGGGAAAATCATCGAATGATTGCTCCCGCCTGGGTGAGGCGAGAGGGAGTGTCAGACTCTTACTGACTAAAAACCACCCCGTTTCTTCTCCTGCACGTCGAGCTGGAGTCCCGGTAACCCGTAGGTTCTCCGCGACTCCGAATTCAGAAAACTGTCTGAAGTGAACGTTTCGTCAGGTGTGGCAGGAGACTTCGACATGGCAGTTAGAACAGCGAAGAAGACGCTGACCGGTACTATCCGAACGCTAGTCTCCGGCTTGAAAGAAGATTTGAATTGGAGTAGGATTTTGACCAGTTTTTAGATTAACCCATCGTGTATCTAAATGTGAACGAAAGACAATGTATTTTCTATTGTGTCTTGTATACGGGCATTCAAGCGGTTTGATACTTTAAATTTTTTTTAAAGATTGTCGGTAAACGAGCAGTCGGATCACCTGATGATAAGCAATCGACGTCGCCCATGGACACCTGGAACACCAGAGGAGGTACAAGTGCGTTACCGGTTTTTTGGAATTAAGAATTTGAGGATTGTTGGGGATTCAGGGATTGGGGAAGGGGAAGGGGTGTAATTGGGCCTCCGGTAACCTCACTTACACAACGCAAGAGTTGTTTCACGTCGGTTTTCTGTGAGGCCGTGGTATCACTCCGGTCGAACCGGCCCATTCGCCGAAGCATGACTCTTCCACACATAAATTTAAAAGTTATATTCACCTAGACAATTTAAATATGGGTAGGTATGTAAGTAGCTACACACGAAAAGTAAATAAGTGCGGGTACTTAGGTCGTAGAGTTTTCTACATGTCTTCTTTTGTTTATAGAAAAAGCATTTGTCAATGTCAATTTGTACAGATGTGTGTTTCGCTACACTACTATATATAAGTAGATGTAAGTAAGTCGGTAAGTCTGTATAGTTGGAGAAGTATTCAATCATGAAACTGACAGGGGAACGGAACGGATAAAAAAAAAACGAATACGTTTAGTTATTTGTATAAGAAAACATATATATACGGAGTATCTGAGTTAGTACAAGGGTACATTTTGAATATAAAAAAATGTTTTTACTACTCTATAGTAGTACATATTACCTACCTAATATTATTGGTCATGGCATGGCGGTATCCGACTGCCAAAAAGAGGGTTAGTTTCTTCTAAGATAAAGATTAAATATAGTAGGTAGGCACTTCAGGACTGCCTCATTGGCCGTGTAGTCGTAAGTGCGACTGCCGGGCAAGGGGTCTCGGGTTCGATTCCCTGGTCGGGCAAAGTATTAATAAGTTTTCTAATAAAAATCTCAGTAGTAGCCCGGAGTCTGGAAATGTGCCCGGTATATGGCAAAAGGCTCATTACATGGGACTCATAACATAAATAGTGAAAAGTGGGTGTTACATTGTACAGTGGCATTGAGTGCCGTAATGTGCACCTCTTCCTACCACTGCGGGAACTAAAGGCGTGATGTTATGTTATGTTGTACTTTAGGAA